ATTTAATCAAAAAAATCAAAAGAAAAGAACTTATGGAAGTTGCTAACAATATTTAATGGCAACATGATTGCTTGTGCTATTTATCATCAAAACACTAGATGAGTCAATTATTGTGTTACACATGTTTTCAACCTAGATACATAGTAGTTTAAGATGGCACTCTTAAAACTCATAAAACTAACCTATTAAGTTCATGATTCTCCAGATCTATATTCTACTTATTATCATCACATCTTATTGATGTGAGATTCTATCATAACTATTTACTGAGTGAACCTTTATGATGGCAGTTTAACAACAGTATACATCTCAAAATGCACGATGTGTTGATGAGCATGCAAGTCTTCCTTGATATGACTAATAATATTTCTTTGTTTTCTAGCTTCTTGATTAATTGGGAGCCATGGGCGGTCCCAACTACCGTGCAAAATATTGTAGTTAGGCATTAGTTTCTGCAAGAACATGATTGATTTCTAGTGTAGGGATAATAATAAGATTAAAGTAGAAAGAAAATATTTCTCTTTAAAAAAAAAAAGATAATTAATTCGAAATAAATTTTTAATAAAAAAAGACAATTATTTTGAAATAAAGGGTGTAAAATAAGCTCTACTAAACAACACTTTATGCTCTTTTTAACATGGCATCTAATGTAGACTTTGGGTTGAACTGAAGAAAATGGCACCTAGTCACTTAACACCGAAAACAGGACCAGTCTTGCATTTACAACCTCATTTCCCCCCACTACGATATTTAATTGGTTATTAAATTAGTTGGAATATTGAACTATAGAAGTAGAAATTAGTTCCAGTTTCCTATTTAGAATATTCAACTATGGAAGAGTAGAAGATTGAAATAATAGTTAAGGCATATGGCATGCATTCCTAAACAACATTCAGCAACTTGCATAGCACAAGGCAAGTAGTTTTCGAGAAACCTTTATCGTGGCTCCAACACTGAGAGGTTAATTGGTTAAAGATGATTCAGGTTTACCGGATGAAGAATTTGTTTCAAGTGATTTCTTGTCAATAAGGAAACCTGGTTCTTCGGGTTGTTCTAGGGCTATCTCACTAGTCAGCATCAAAACCACATATGACATCCTTGGCTTGTCGTCAGGGTGTTGTTGAGCACATAAGAGAATAATATGGATGCATCTTAATACTTCAGACAGAGTGCAAGACTCTTGTACAAATGAATCAATCAGTTCTAAAGGATTTCCTTCTTTCAACAATCTCCATGTCTATATACAAATTAAAAAAACCGTCAAGTCATTTTTCAAGTAATTTTTCAAATCATTTTTCAGGTCAAGGAAGGAAATAAGGTATGTTTTGAAGCTTGATACTTACATGTCCAACAAGATTAAGGCCAGGCTTAAGATGGTTAAACCCTCTATTTTTCTTTCCACTTATCATCTACAAAAACAGTATACCGAAGCTGAAAACATCAGATTTTACTAAGAATTGCCCATAAATGGCATATTTTGGTGCCATATAACCACTGCAAAAAAAAGAAAAACAATTAAGATAAATTATATCAGCAGGGATTTTTTAGTAAAATGGGGAGTATAAAGATAGTTTAACTAACTAGGTTCCAACCACTCTCTTTGTGCTTCCCTCAGACTGTTCTCCAAATGTTCTAGCCATGTCGAAGCCAGAAATTTTGGGGTTCATTTCACTATCAAGCAAAACATTGCTTGCTTTGAGATCTCTATGCATAATCCTCAATCGAAAATCTTCATGTAGATAGACAAGCCCTTTAGCAATTCCCCAAATAATGTGAAAATGCCTTGACCAGTCTTAATAATTTCCTCCTTGTATCATCTGTCATGAAACATGATCTTCGTATTAATGTAGTCTTCAACTAGAGTTTTTGAAACAGATAGTTGCATTAAAATATGGAAACAAATTGTATTAAATTTATACTACTACGAATTTAATTGACTGGGTTTCGAAGGAATCTGAACCAAAAATGAAGAAGTCCAAACTTTTGTTATGCATATATTCGTAAATCAGCATTTTCTCCTCCCCTTGAATGCAGCATCCTAGAAGCTTTACAAGATTCCGATGTTGAAGTTTGGCTATAAGTGCAATGTCATTCTTGAACTCAACTAATCCTTGTCTAGAGCTTTTTGAGAGCCTCTTCACAGCAGTTTCTTTTCCATCTGACAAAGTACCTTGGAAAAATGTACTTGTAAAGTTCATTTGATCTTAAACTAATACTCACTTTTACAAGAGCTCTGAACATTTATCTTGTATGCAGGCCCAAAGTCACCTTCTCTTAGCTTGTTGTGGGAAGAGAAGTCATTGGTAAGCTTGGATATTACAGCTAAATCAAATAACGGGAGTTCCATATTTTATTTTGCTTTTCATTGCTCCGGTCATTTTCTCTTCCTAAAAGGGTGAAGAATTTAATCAAGACCAAACAATGAGAAATGAACCAAGGGAAGTTGCAACCAATATTCAAAGGCTACAGGATTTGTGAAGGCAAAGAAACTTACCTTTTATGTTTCGACAGCTCCTGCTAATGTAATAGGTGATTACAACAACACTAATAACTACAAGAATGGCAATTGCAATTATTAGTGCTGCCTTCATTTTATTCTTGCCTGATGCGGGAGCATGAAGTTTTTATCTTTTTAATTACTTGTTTTAGTTTGAGTTTTATTTGGAGTCTAAGTTTTAATTTTAGGAAAGTCATGTGGATAGCTTGTAATTTCTGATTAGGACTAGAATTAGTAGGTTATTAGAAGTTCAAATTAGTATTGAATTAGGATTCTTGGCTACTGTTAGTATATATCTTTATCTTTAGATCTCTAAATCAGTTTTGTTATGATATTTTAGTTTAAGAATAAACTTGAGCTTGCAAACCTAAGTTTTATTGGTTCCATCTTTAATTTTATGAAGTTCTTAGTTTCTGTTTGTTTTACCCTTCCTTCCTGCATCAAATTGCTATCAGAACTATGGCTGGTTGTGGCAGAGGAAATAATGGCCAACAAGCAGAATTAACTGAGATGCAACATATGGTCGAGGACTTGTCCCGAGGTGTGCAAGCTTTACAGTGACAGGAACCCCTGGGAGCCCGTATGGAGATGCCGGAGGGTGACCATAACCCTGCAGACATACCGGAAGGTAGTCTGGAGGATGAGACGGTGGATGGAAGGGATGATAACCCTGTTCATGAAGCTGGAAC